GTGTGTGTTAGTGGGTCATACCTGAGCAGAAAAAAAAATCATTCTAAAATATAAAAACAAAGATGTATTCTTCAGAAATGAGGCTGCTGAAAGGAAAAATCTGTACCTGTATTTTTAACAGATATTGTAGTCAGAGTCATATAATGCCACAGACAACTTTACACACAGCATATGTATTCCCTGGAGTGGGCACATTGGAGCCAGAACATGAAAAAGCAATGGGTTCTGCTCCCACAAAGCTCATAGGGGATGCCAGGACAACAGCTATGCCAGTCAAAACAATCTACACTTAAAAAAAATCTAACAGACACATACTACAAGAAAAATTAGTATTGGAAAGTCTAGCTTGTTTCCTCTTTTCTACATGCAGCTCCCTATATCTATGGCATTTAATTCCTCTGATTTGGAACAGACTCGGCTTGCCCTTATTGGACAATCCTCAGAGTGCCAGGGTTTGACGAAACATAAAAGAAATAGGAACTGTTCTAGTCATTAGGACCATATACACCAAGTCCAACATGTGAATGCTTTTTAAGCACCAGCATTCTGATCACACTTCCTTGTCACAGCCTCACAGGGAGATATGATACTTGCTTGAGCCCTACTGGGCATCTAAAGAGATCTGGTTTCTGAACAGGAATATTAATCATGTGTCTTAGCCACCCAAGGACATATTAATTCATGTAGCTAGCAGATACTGGTTCCAACCAGTTAGCAGGTAGGAATTCTAAAGAGGTGCCTTCTTTCTATATTCATTTAAAGAAGTTGGAAGTCATATTTCTTGCCAGAAACAAAATATGGTAGCTTGCCAGACATGAAAATATCAGGTGTATTAGATTTTACAATGCCACAACCAATCAGGCACAGAATTAACCCAACAAAGTTAGTGTAGCAAAAACATGAAAATATTTCCCTCTCCCTCCATTGCAATCTGACCTACGCAATACCCAGCAGGAGTTTTTGGAAGGGAGAATGACTATCTGAGGGGATCAGTAATGTCGCACAGAACTTTCCTCCTTCAGATCTTTAAACACAGATTGGTAGCCACTCTAGAGCATTATCATCAGATGGCCGTTTGGAGATCTATGTGAACTGGCTTAAGAAGGTCTGTGTCAGGTAGCCACATAACAAAAAGCACCACTATGTTTTGCACCTTTGTTAGCAGTCATCCAGAAGGGGACTACCCAAATCCTTAGGCCCAGCCCACAACACTGGTATAAATCAGCATAGCTCCATTTTGCTGATTTGCTCCATTGCAGTTCACACCAGTCGAGGATCTGACCCTCAGATTCCCAATCATTAAATGGGCATTGTGGCAAATTGCCAGCACTACTTTGATGGGTCTTGCACTTTCTCTTCTTGGGGAGGGTTCAGGGCACCATTTCTTGCCCCTGAACTGGGGTATTAACTGCCCCACTAGTGTCCTAGAGGAGGGGAGTGAAGAGGGAGGGACCCGGGCCCGCCCTTTACTCCGGGTCCCAGTCCAGGGGCCCTAGGGATGGCGGTAAACCACTTGAACTAGCGGTTCCTTCCCCTGGGCTACTTCCATTTCCTGCCCTTCAGCTTGTATGGCTTCCTGCCCTCCCTCTACACAAACCAGGTGTCCCTTTACCTAGGGTCTTGGTCTTCTTAGCACCCCACAGCACTTCTCCAAACTCTCCTCTGCTTCCCTCCAGACTGCTCTCTGCTCCAACACCAATCCACTCTGCTTCAACTCCTTCCCTTGTCTGATTGAAGCAGGGGGGTTTTATCAGGCGACTGGCTTCCGGTGTTTTAATTAATCTATAGCAAACTTTCTTCCTTCTACAGGGAATAAGGCTCCTTTCTAATACTCTCCTGCTGCCCTCTGGGCATGCTGTATCAAAGCATGTAACATAGATACCTTGCAGCGAAAACCAAAAATAATGGATTCTGTACTTTACTCCCCCTCTGTTAAGGATCCCTTGACTTTGCTCTTGGAACTGGGGAGTTCTAAAGAGGCACAGTAATCTGTGTGTGCCCCTTTCAGCCCAGTTCAGATAATTATTTAGTTTATTAGAATTATTATACTACAACTAGCTATAACACTTTGCACCCAAGGATGAAAGTAGTTTACAGATATAAATAAAGACTCACAACACACCTGCCAGGCATTAAGTGAAGAGCTAGATTTCTTTTTTTCCCAAAAACATTTTTAAAGTGGTGACAAATTTTCACAGACTATAATTCTCAGTGCAGAGTGGGAAGGGGACTGAAGGACTTGCCTATACTTGGATAATTACCTAGGGTATCAGATCGTCTATTAAAGTGGCATAACCATCTGTCATCCAGGAGGTGGGTTACAAGGTGGGGGCATTGTTCCTCCAGAAATACATAGGACCGAACTGTGGGCCCCTGGTGTTTTTATGTCTTCCCATAGTCTGTGCGGCCACATAAACATTCACACCCACTCAAAGACTCCCATTGACTTCACTGGTAGGCCTATGTCAATAGCTATGAAGTGGTCTGAGGGTAATTGTAGTGGGCCCACTCCATTAATGACACACGTGTCAAACACGCCTTCCTTGCTATTGTGTCTTCTCTGGACACTGAATTGACTTAATCAGCATGTCCGTCTTTGGGCTGCTGGGCTCTACTTTGTGCTGCTCCTACTTCAGGCTAGGGTGCATCTCCTTAAAAGTCTATTTAGATACTTCTGCCCATGAATCTCTACAGCTCTGAGGGAAAAGGCCCCCCTGATTCCTTTGATGTAACTGATACTACTCTCCCAATGTCCTGTTATCAGACATTGCTTGCACATGTTCCCACTATCTGGGCAAACCACATCTATCTGGGTTCTCCCTTGCCACACCTATCACATTTCAGGAAATGTCTTGTTCTTTAGAGGCCTTTTCTTTCTTTCTTGTGCCTCTTTTTCACCATGGAAACATTTCATTGGTTACTAGTTGCACAATGCTTTCTTGGCTTCTTCGCGAGGTGTCTTGCAATTTCATTAACTCAGAGGGCTGTTCCTGTTGCATTGCCTGTTCTGGAGTTAGCACAGACATTAACCGTGATTTTTCTGAAATCTCCTTGTTTAAAATGATCTCCCATGTGTTCTTCCTTACCAATAGTGAAGTCACAATATGCCGCTTGTTCATATAGTGCCACACTTTCTCTGCATCCCTTTGGTAAAAGCAAGACCATTCATGGATTCTTTGTGGAAAGAAATGTTCATTAAACATGTTAAGAACAATACCAAAGTTATAGCTTATTGGCTTCCACCATGAAGGCAAACAATTTATACATATTTTTGGCTTTGCTCCCTATTGCATAAATGAATGAGCTGACTTGTATTTTGCCAACTTCTGTGTTAAGCTTCTTTGTTATGCAGAAGCTAATAAAGTGCTCTCTCCACATGGGCCACTCCATGGGTTTAGCAATCTCAGAGTCTTGCAGGGGGTTGACTTTTTTTGACTTCTTATTTATGTTGGCTCAAAATGAATCAGCTTCTGACACCATGTCATGTGACAGTGGTAAAGAATAACAGTAAGAGTCACTTCCTACAAACATTGAAAAGGGGCTTTAGCTTTAGAATAAGGAAAACCGTATTCTCCCTAAAACTTCTCTCTCTCCCTCTGCTTTACTACATAGCTCCATCCTAAAACCTAATCCTGCTTCCTACTGCCTGACTTCCTTCACTGATTTTAAGAAACAGTACTGTGGCGGGGTGGTCACCCCACCATGCCTCGAAGGTCTTAAAACAGCCCTAGGAGAGGGCTGTAGCCAGAGCAAAGCTAGGCTGATTGGGGGAAGTAGCCACAGGTGGTGCCACGCCCCAATCAGGCCACAGCTGGCTCTATAAGAGGGCTGTTAGCCAGGAGCTGAGACAAGCATTCTCTCTAGCTACATGAGGAGAGGAGGATGTGGCAAGGCAAGGCAAGGCAAGGCAAGGCAAGGCAAGGCAAGGCAGAGGGAGCTGGGGAGCTCCAGCCTAGCAGAGCCCTAGGCCGAGGTAAAGGCCCATGAAAGGATACTAATGCTGCAGAGGAGCAGCCTAGACCTAGACAGAGGCAGCTGGTCCAACCCCCCTTGCTGATGATGAGTGGTAGAGACTGCAGGGCAGAACGCTGATTTAGAAGGGCACCGGGTTCCGGGAGGAGCACAGGACCAGCGGCAGGTGAGACACCAACTGGCAGAGGGCGCTCCTGGCTGAAAAGAGCTAATTCCCTGGACAACCAGCAGGAGGTGCCGCAGCGGTGAGTTGTCGCCCCGTGACAAGTACATATATCCTCACAAAAGAGAGCACTCCCCTCAATGTCTGCTGACAGATGCCAACAAGTACAAGCAGGCAGGGGACCTGGCCATGCCTCTGGCCTCGTGCAAATGGACCATGCCTGGTGGGACCACAGAGTATCACTGCACATGATATCTAGTCCCAACAGCAAAAGCAATTTTTTTGTGTCCTGTATGAATTTTTTCCCCTGCACCTTTTCTCCCCTGGCATCCCAGCCACAGTTAACCCATAGACTTCTAGAGTTTCTTTCCCACACAGTTTCAGGAATCCAAAAAAGCTGCACAGCTCTGCCCAGAATTGTTCTTTCCAGACTGGTTTTAAAAATTTCAGAGCAGTCCCTTCCTTATAACTTTTCTCACTTCCTTTTCTGTGTGACTAGGCATCCTTTGGGCCATAAAAAAATAAAGAAATTCAATACATCTGAAAGAATATGGAACTTCTCCAGTGCTGGGGATATTGCAGGTCTAAGAAACTCCACATTCCACCTCCAATTTCAAGGGATGCCTTCAGTTTGAATGAGATTATGAATATGAATTGATGGGAATACTCAAGAGGCTGTTTAGAAGAATCACAGAGCCATTAATACTACACTATACGTTTCATGCAGAGATAGCTGTGCCCCATAGCTGGCTAATACTGTGGAATAAAAGGAGTTAAATGTTCACACTCCCTTTCTCTGTGTATCTCACCCCCTCCTCCTCTCCATGCATTTCTGTCAAAGACCCAATCTCTGGCCAGCCACCGGTAGGATTAGGCTGCTCTAACAGTCTGGCTGACACCTTGTGCAAAGAATGAGGTCTCACTGTCTGAGGGAGAATACATGCATGCACTTTCTTTCTCAGAAGACATCTGAGAAATGAAACAACAACTTAGACTTTGAAGATTTCAAAATTACACAGGTTACCAAAAAACACAAAAACCCTCCCTTTTTGAAAGACTGCAGGCATTTTAGTTAATGTCTATGTGGGAGCCATATGGAAAAATCAGTTCTGTCCTGTTAAACTGGTTTCACAGTTTTGGTTTTCATCTATCCACAGAGCTCTGAAAAGTCTATGTTTTGTTTTATTTTGCTTCGCAAATAAGAGTGGTCTGAGGAGCATCTGTCTATAAACACAATAGGTAAGAGCAGTTTTTTTTTTAAGTTTTCGTTTTGTTTGTTTTTGTGAAAGGTGTCTCCAAGAATCTGAGAGTATGTTGTCTGTGTAATCAAGAGAAGTCAGCCTTTAGGATGATGTTCTATTAAGGATAAGCTGATTATGTATGGTATTTGTTTATTTGTTTGCTTGTTTGTTTTTTTCTTTCCTAGACAAAAAAACAAACAAACTGCAGACACTCTGTGAATGTTTGCAAAATGCCATTTAAACAGCAGCAAGAGTGAAAACTCTGAAGTGCTGGGCAGTTTGGATGCCTTATTAAAAGGTAAAGAAAAATACTTCCAGGGTTTAATTCCAGAGCTAATAAGCTATAGTTAGAACAAAAGAATGGCAAAAGTGACAGAGAAACATTACCATCAGAGGAAAAGCTTTATTGTAAAGGGATTTACGCAAGTAATCAAGAGGAAGAATAATCTTCTCAACACTTGCTACACCTAGTAGCATAGTTCTATATTTTATTCGTCGGGTGTTTTAAATGTTACCAACACATTTTCAAAGTGGAATGGAAGGGGAATTTTTAACACTATTAAGATGTTAAATAGGATGTTCTGTTGTAGCATAGCCTGTGAGTCATACTAGTTATTTTGGAAATCACCAATGAAAACAAGTTTTCCACATGATAATCTGCAAATAGATTCAGAACTATACTTAAATGTACAGGACCAAGAAATATTAAAACTCTGCTCCATTTATAAATATTATTGTTTGTTCATGAGTAGTAGCTCAGCTAAGCTGAAGACTTTTTCACTTTCTGAGTTCTTCTTAACACAGGCTACAAAAGGAAAATGCCAGTCACAAAAAACTGTACAGATTATAAATCATGGATTCATCATGTCACGGATTATTTTTCTTTAATACACTCTTTTACTGGCTGACAATCACATTTGCTGATGTCTTTACTCCTTCCTAGTGCTTATAAGTTTCAAGAGGTTATCTTTTTTCAAAAAGAGATACTGCTCACAGAGCACCCCCTGCCTACTAAAGCACTGCCCTACATTTCACATCAATTTTTGAAGTGATTTGTCCTTCTTCCCTTCTCTCAGGTCCAGCACTTCTCTCTCTCTCGCTCTCTCCTTAGATTAATGTGAGGCAGATGGAATAATACTGTGAGGATAATGAGCAATCTAATACAATAATACACTGCAAAAAGTTCCCGTGCTTACTTAGCCCTTTTATTTGTGTAACTCTGTACAACACAGATGTGGTGTCCCATTTTTAACAGCATCTGCATTCTCACAGACCCCTTGCTGGAACTGCCTAAGCCTCAGACGCTCCTTGTCCATATTCCCTGCAGATAATAAAGTGTCTCAGCAAAGGGGAAAATATGACATTTAAAAAGTCTGAATCAGAGGGATATGGGCAAACTAGCATTAGTTTTAAACCGAGAGACTACAGAGATCGACTGGAAACATCCTCAAGTACACCTGCTGAGGAGAAATGCTGGAAGAAAGAAGATATAAAGTGCTGGAATTTCAGAACTATTTCTCCAATCGTTGCATTAGAGTACAGGCTTCCTCTAAATAAAAGACACACAGAATTTAAAATCTACTAAATCCCAACACAATGTCTCTCACCTGGGGTCTACCACTTTCTTCTCCATATACTCTTTTCCCTTTTATATTATTTGTTTTCTGTGCACACACCTGAAATCCTGATGAACTTACAGTCAGTATGAAATAAAAATAGAATTACAAAAAACACAGGTGGCAGCAGCATTAGGAATACAATAGATTAGCAATAATCTGTGACTGGGAGACTCCTTGCAAGTTACTGGATCTGTAAAATTACCAAGTGAACTAAGGCAATAAATAAGCCAGGATAAGATGTCTTCGAATGTATTTTGTCTATTCATTTGTCAGCTGTTTTTGATGATAATTCCTTTCTTCATATTACACTCATGCAATATATACACTGTATTGTACATATTTGGTAATATGAGACCTTACTACAGCTTCTGCTTTTTAATCTTTGCTGAGAACTGGGGCGAGACAGAAACATTTCTCTGTGAATATAAATGAGTTAGCAAAGTGCAGATTAGCAGCATTCTGCAGTACCCTGATTTTTTACCATTTGTGACAATAATGATTATTGGCAAAGCACAACGAGAGGTACACGAAAAGAGAGGCTTTTGTTTTGTTTTGATTTTGTTTTGTTTTCCTCAATGGTAACAACCTCTAACCTTTTATTACCCCATCTTGTAGTGCTGAAGATGTTCAGATTCTGGATTTACCTGCCTTTCCATCTTCTCGTGGCCATGTGTTTGTGTCATTCTGTAAAGGTGCCCACCAGTTCCCAACACAGCTTCAAGAGTGATCTCTTCAACTGTAATCATTCCCTGATTCTTGCAGATGGTAAGGAAACCACAGTCCACCTGTTGAAGGATATACCTAAAAGGTAGGAGCAAATCATTCAATACAAATTCGCATATGTTCTTTCATTTCCTGCCCTCTGGCACATGCAGACTTGCTACTACTAATATCAAGGAGATAATTGCTGTACACTCCCTACCTGCAATGCCCTGGCAGTGCTGCCTTTAATACCCTGAGCCAAGCAATGCAATATTGCTGTCCCTTGAAAGTCTCTTCCAATATCTCCCTCCAGCCTTCTCTTTCTTTTTTTGCCTTCTTAGTTGAAAAACTTAACTAGAATCTGGAGTGATTTTTTTAAGGTAGATTTCGGCTACGTATATTTATTGTAAGATTTTTCCCTATTTGGCTATCTGGCAGACCTCTTAATTGATGCAATTACTGCTGAGTTTACATTAGGCTCCAAAAGTGAATAACTATTGCTGCATATCCAGGTGATATCTTAATCAGTTGACCAACAAAACCGTAGGAGCACCAAAGCCTCAGGCCAAAGTCAACTGCAAATATTTTTCCTCAATAAATTAACGACCCAAATCATTACAATAAGGGTATACTTTAAAACTGAAAATCAGCTTTCAGATATACTGCATGCTTAGTTGTGTATTTGGTGAGCAGTACTAAAGCTTGCATAGATCCAAAGAATTTTTAATATGGAAATTCCATTGAAGGTTAACCTGGACTTCCCAAAATGCCTGTGAATTTTGCATGTAGTCAAATCTGTATGTGTGTGTATTAAAGTGTCTGGTACCTTACGCCTACCTCAGATATCTGGAAAGAGATGCCCTTTACCAAGATTAATCCAAAATACAATTTGGACACTAACCAACATTATTAGTGTCAATAGATCTGATATATATTCCTGCAGAATAGTTAAAGAGCAGAGGGTGAGCCAGATGGCTCAGTCCTGATGGGCACTGTGAAGGAAGAAAACAGGACATTGCACATGTGGTTATATAACGAAATGATGACTACAAGAATGAACCGAAGAATTCTCCTTGTTAAAGGGACATAGAAATTGAAATCTAAGAGAAAGAGGGGTTTATAGCATGTAGTTTAACAGGAACATATTAATTTCCAGATTAATTTTTTTAAACTTGGTTCATCTAGAATAAAGGCTTGAAGTACGCACTTAATTATAAGCACTGAAAGGCTCACAAGAACCTTATGGTTTTCCAAAGACCAAACATAAAACCAGAAAATTCAGAGCCCAGGTTTAAATTAAAAGAAGCCAAAACTTTGAAAAATATGGAAATACTCAGTGGTCACCCAAACAACTTTAATTCTGGCCCAGTAGCAATAACCCGAAAACATGTAAAAACTCTCTGAGGTGACCTTATGTGTCCATAACATCTCACCAATGAGTACAAAACTAGAATTACTTATATTTTATTGTACTCTAATCTAATAGAGTACATCTGTCTTTTTGGCCATACTCAGTCCACTGAGAGACTGAGCAGCCAAAGAGCAAAGTAGCAAAGCTGGAGATCAGGCTTTACTGAAATCAGTCAGGAACCGATGTCACTTTGTACCAGTGATACAGTGGGCCAAATTTTCAAAGTAAATATGTGAAACTGAACTCTTGTTAGATTAGGTTAATGATTCCAGGGAGGATTCAGTATGCTAGCAGAGTGGCAAGTACATTTGTGGTGCTACTCAAGTGCATTTCCACCAATAAGCAAAGACTCATTAGGCAGAAGGGAAGAGTTAAGAAATTGAATCTCTGTATAATCATCAATTTTGCGGCATTGAGTAGGAGCTACTTTCCATATGCATGGGGGGGCATTCATGGCCCATATAAATGTTGTATTGAGTAGCTCTCATGGATGTCTTCAAGCTGTGTATAAGCCTCCACATGAGCAGAATAGACTCATTGCAACTAGAGAGACTAGTGGCGTGTTGGGATGGAGAGTTGAGGAGTAGCATCCTCACACCGCCAATCAAGAACAAGTAGGACTAGGTATGAAATGGATCCTCTTAATCTCAGACCTTTGGAAGACAGAGTGATGCTCACATACTATATTATTCTTACAGAACCCATTGTTGGTTGCTCTAAGCAAGACACCTGGGTATCAGATTTTGGTAAAACACATGCTTATTTCCCCAGTGTTAGCCTGGGAAGGGAGCTCTAATAGAAGTCACTTTCCTAATTCTATTATACCATAGTATTTACTTGTCATATAGAGTCTAAAAAGTCAGTATTGTGGAATACATCTACCCAGTAATAAATGGACAATATTCAAGAAAACCTATGTGGAGTAGAAAGAAACACAGTATGTATTCTTTTTACATAAGAAAATTTAGAGCTCTCTCTAGGCTATTGCTTTAATGTACCTAATAGTTGAATTGTTATTACCTACAGTGGAATGTAGTTTTTAGATCTTCAATCTGAATGACTAATTACTTTATCTGCTGGGATTCTGCAGTATGACCGTTTCTTAATGCCTTCAGTACATTTTTATCCACATTTTCAGGTACTGTTTCATTCTGGAAGAAGACAGAGCCCCTGCTCCTTTCACAGTAACAGTGACACCCTGTGATGTTCCCATTGAATGGAGTATACTGGTACATAAGGCATCAACAAATTTCCTTGGAAAAGCAGCACGTGGTAAGAGCTAAATGGAAGAAATCTGAAATCTGTCTGATCAGTGCAGGACAGAAAGTAGCCCATTCATAAGAAGTGCCAGCAACCTAGGAAATCTCACCACCAACAAAAATGGCCTGGGCAAACTTGAAGTTATAGGTCCAAATCTCCCTTCCTGTGGACTTACCTGTGGGTTTGGAAAAATATGACCCAAAACTCCATGGGTGAAATCCTGGCCCTATTGGAATAAATGTTTTTTTTGCCATTGACTTCAATAGAGTCCTGCAAAATAAAATTCAGTTTCTGACATATTCTCTTCTCAGGGTAGTGTAATGCAAGGACAAGTTTATGGCCAGAGACAAGGGTGCTGGCCCTTGTTCCCTCCACCATAGCCATGTGCTCGTATTCTTTCGGAAGCGTAAGAGCAGCTGAGGTTAGGAGTTAACAGTGCAATGAGCTTTGTTAACCTGGAATCTTACCTGGATATCTGTCAGGCTGCCAGGGGAGCATGGAAAATAGAGTGGCTACTCCCCACTTCCACTATTAACAACTAGAACCCTCCCCAAAACCCAAGGGACCCTAACTACACAATGTTCATATGGAGAGTATTAAGATCACTAGGGAGGGAGGGAAGTGCACTTGACAGAGCTGTATCACACTCTTCTTTGTGTCTCAGACCTCTTGGGCTGGTATTTCCTCTTTTCTGCTCTTCATGACAATGTGCAACAGAGGGAAGAATCCAGAGGTGAAAGTAAGCTGGTACCACGGTGGATCAGCTTCCCCAGGTGCAATTTAAAGGGTCTGGAGCTCCTAGCAGCAGCTGGAGCCCCCGGCCCTTTAAATTGATGCCAGAGCCCCACTGCTGGACCCCTGGGGTAGTGGTGGCAGGGCTGGGACAGCGATTTAAAGGCCCCGGGGCGGTAGCAGCGGCCGAGCCCTTGGCCCTTTAAATCATCCCCGGAGCCCCGCTACCGCTTCCCCAGGGCTCCGGCAGGCTCCGGGGACGATTTAAAGGGCCCAGGGCTCCAACCGCTGCTACCGCCCTGGGCCCTTTAAAGTTCTGCCAGAGCCCCCGGCTGCCGCTGTTACCTCGGGGAAGGGGAAGGAGGCCCTTGCTGGTACAGGGTGGGCCGGGGCTGCCTCTGACCTCCCCCAGCCCCGCCCCTTCCGCCCAAGGCCCCGCCCCTTCCAGGGGCCAGAGCCGGCCCCAGCCCCGTACCAGTAAGTCCCTAGACTTACTTTCACCCCGGAAGAATCTGGGTCAGATTCTAGTTCCCTGGGAATATCATGTACAAGGGCAATAGGCATAGAATAATCTAGAGCGATGTTTCCCTCAAGCTAAAAGAAAACTTAATTATCTTTTATAATTTCCAGAATCATTTCATAGGTTTAAAAAAATCACATTTTTTTAATTATTAAAAAAGCTAGATGCTGCCAGAAATAAGATGTTAATTAGCAAGGAGATGCACTTGACTAGTTAGCTCAGTGGGCATTCCTTCAAAGCCTCTGGCTTTTTTTGTTCATACAAGGCAGGGAAAGGCACAAAATCAGACTAAAGGAAACTCGTTCTGCACAAAATGTCCGTGTCCTAAAGTATAGTACAGGAAGAAACACTGACAAAGTGGAATATTACAATGACATCCGGTACTACATAGGACAAAATATTTGCAATTGGGAGTTTAATTATAGTCTGTTTGAAAAAATTAATTCTCTCTTGCAATATTAAAAGAATAGCCTCTAAAGCATAAAATGCTAGAAGCAAGAGGAATTTCTCTGGCATATGAATAATAAAACTGAGACGCTAAGTGATGAATTGTTGTGGCATATGAAAAGAAAAACAATTGGGTCTGCTTTTGATGAGTCTGCTTTTCATGTGCAGGTGATTATGACACTCTTGAAGCCACAAAATCTCAGAAGATTCTGAAGTTGGTGTCCATGATATTTAACTATAAAGGAAATTCTGTGGAGACTTATATGGGTATGTCTTCCTATTCTGCTTTCTATATGCTGGAGTTCCTATCAACTGAACGAGACACACACATTACTGTGTACTTAACAACTGACACAACATCTGGGCATCTGTATCCAGAACTCCCAATGGATCCACGCATAGATGTTATTGGTATTGGCCATGCAACTGTGACTCTAGCTTGGAAACACAGCCCATCAGTCTGGCAGCACAAAGAAAACATCCAGTATTGTCTTCTAGTCAATGAAAAACACAACTACAAGAGTTTATGTGCAGCTGAGACAGCTATCAGATCTTCCGGTATGAAATCGCCACCAGTGCTAGCTCTTTCTCTCTTTCCATATCTTCTAGACCATCAACAGGTGATGATATTGTCCAATAGTGAATTAAGTATCATCAACAGGGTTAGTAATGGGGAAGTGAGGCAGATATGCATGGGCACTAAGAATACTTATACAGTGCCCAACCTTAGACCCAGCACTCAATATTATTTTGATGTTTTTGTAGTCAACCTCCTCACTAATGCAAGTGCTGCCTACACTGGAACATTTGCAAGAACTCTGGAGGAACCTGAGCCTAAAGTTATTGAGCTGAAGGATGGGAAGGTAATTCATTTAATCCTGGATGAGAAAAAGCAGAAATTCTACAGCTTGCAGTATCAAGCTAAACAGAAGAAGATCCAGTTCACATTTCAATCTTGTAGTGGCCAAGTATGGGTTCAGATAGCAAGGAATGGTAAAGTACTGGCCTCAGAAAACATTGCAGGCTTCAGACATTTCTCACTGAAGGGAAAGCTGCTGGACACGTATTTGGTGCAGCTAAGGTCCATGGACCATATTAATTCTTCTGTGAAAGTTCAAGTATCCTCTCACTTTCATAAGCCTTTCTTCCCACTTCTTCCAGAAAGCTTAAAAATCAAGTCCTTCAGCAAACTGAGGACCTGCAATTCAGTCACCATTGCCTGGCTAGGAACACAAGAGCAGAGCAAGTACTGTGTGTACAAGAAAAGGATCAAAGAGGATCAAGTTTGGATGGAGCTGAGGAGTGCAGACAGGTGCTCAGGGCCCAAATCCAGACACAAGTCTGAGAAAGTGCTGTGCAAATATTTCTATGATATAAATCTACAACGAGCAGTCACCACACAGACCATCAAGGGATTGGAAGCAGGGACTCCCTACCTGTTTGATGTTTATCTAACTGGACCTTCTGGGATCCCAGTCAGGTATCACAGTAAAGTTGTGAAAACCAGGAAAAAATGTTGAGGGCTTTTCAATAAATGTTTTCTGGTAGATAAATAAGGAGAAAAATGAAAAACATGCACAATAAACACCAGTGCTCTGTGCAGTTCAAAATGTATTGGGGCATAACACACAATTATTAAAGCTGCAAGATTTATGGGGAAAGAATCTTTTCCACTGTCTAGAAAATTAGGCTCACTCTGGCATCTTTTTTCCAATATAAGCTTCTCTCTCAATTGTCTCACATTGACAGCAAAAACAAGACTAAAACAAATAGAGAAACTTGGAAACAATGGATTCACCCTGTGACATGCAAGAAATCGGTCTGGAGTGGAATGAACTAAAATGGACCTGAAATCAAATTCACATTGTGAAATACCTTTCAAGGAGTATTGAACTGTTACTTTAAAATCCAACATTGTTTTTTCACTTTGCATACCTCAGTCACTGTCAATGAGGAACTGAGCGATACCACCAGGATGACTACTCTGAGAAGACTGACCTATCCCTGCCAGCTCAGAGGTTTGCTTGTGGAGGCAAATGGACAATGAATGGGTATTGTTGCAAAGCGTCTCTCACGCACAAAGGGGCAAGGGTGAGAACAGTGGTGGATCGAGTGTTCAGCTGCTGCTGCTGCTTCACATTCCGGTCAACTGTGACTACAGCAGCTCCTCAAACAACCATGTCACAATTACCGGCATATTTGCTTTGCATTCATTCCTGTGGAGAAGTTATTCTTGTGTAGAGAGGGACCTGACTCACAACGTTTGGACCGGGAATTGCACCTGAATTTCCCCAAAGTTGAGGATGTTTGAATACAGTTTGCTGGTTCTGCCCATATAGAAAAAGACCTGAGTAGGAAAGCTCAAGGAGAAGGAAGATCGTTCTGATCCAAACTGTTCTAGTTCAGGTCCGTTGCTACTCCTGTTTGGTTTTATGTATTCTATGCATACACATACACTGAACAGACAAGGGTGCATCATCTTTGGAGCTTCAGAAATAAAATATTTCTTGCGGCAAGACAGGGAGGGCTGAGAACATTATCACTCATCCTTCCTCCTCCCCAGAGAGAGAGATTCGCACATGCTGACCCCCCCACACCCACACATCTCACTGCATGTATTATTTTACTCTTACAATGGGATACACGAATCCCCACCCCATAATTTCTGGCCCTGGCAAACACCAGCACTGTGCAGAACTGCATGAAGATCAGTTCCCCACAAGTTCATGTTCTGATTGCCCTTACCACTGTGCCCACGCACCCACAATCCTATGCAGGCAACTCAATGTGATAGGCTAATTCTTTCCTTCCTTCTGTCCAGCCCCAGCACAGCCAATTTCAAAGAATGTGTTGCTTTTTTTAAAATGAGATTTTCCTGTTGAGTAGCATGAAGTAGTATGTCTGTAGTAAAGCCTGACAAGCACAGGTGTTTTTATTGTCTCTGATTCTGTTTTAAATTTTGGAAAAGGCAAAGTATGAGGAATATTTTTAACAAAAAAATCCCCCTAGGAAAAAAAGTCTTCATAAATAATTATTCTCAGTGTCATCTACCTGCAGAAGAGATTTTTGAACACAGACTCTGGGCAGATCTGGATTTCATATATGAAGTAATGTGAAACATTAACAGACCCAGATATTTCTGAAGAAAACGGATCTGCTTTATTTGTTTTTTTCCAAAATTACACAAAGCAAGGTATAAGCGTGTAATTCTACTCCACATGTATTTACTGTACATTGTGCACGCTAGAACCTCCTTTACATTTTTGGAGCATCAAGGTTTCAACTTGTTAATTATTATTATTAATATTTTAACAGTGCTCAGAGGTGCCAGTCAGCACTGGGTCCCCACTGTGCTAAGTGCTGTAAAAACATATAGGGCATGTCTATACTTAAGGCTAAATCGGTGCTGCTGCGATCCGTTCAGAGGTGTCTATTTAGCAGGTCTGGCGAAGACCCACTAAGTCGATGGCAGTGTGCTCTCCCATCAACTTCTGTACTCCAGTTTGCCGAAAAGCAAAATGGAAGTTGGCGGGAGAGCATCTCTCATCGACACAGCGTGGTGTAGACACCAGTGTAAGTCAACCTGTGTTACATAGACTTCAGGTACATAACTTACATAACTGAAGTAGCATAACTTAGGTTGACTTACAGCCCAGAGTATGAAACAGTCGCAGCTCTGAAGAATTAATGTAGTTTAAGACAAGACTCAAGAGTAGGCAAGAGGCACTTGCCCAACAGCTTCCTCGTGGTTCCTGAATATGAATGCCAATACCAGCCCCCCTGCCTGCTGCAAGAAGGGTAGGGTCCCTGGCACCTCTATGGGATCAGCTGAAGAATCATGGCCCTACACTCCTAAAGCACTGTGCAGGGAAACATCTAGGGATTCTGAGCAACACAGAACTTTAGGGGCCACAGACCTACGGGTAAGTCTACAGTGCAATTAAACACCACAGCTAACCTGCCTCAGCTGACTTGACCTCACAGAGCATGGGCTGTGGGGCTGCAAGACTGCGGTGCAGACAATCGGGCTCAGGCAGCAGCCCAAGCTCTGGGACCCAGCAAGTGGGAATGGTCCCAGTGCCTGGATTCCAGCCTCAGCCTGAACATGTACACCACAATTTGGCAGTCCTGCAGCCCATGACCAGCCAACCAGAGTCAGCTGGCATGAGCCAGCCATCCGTGTTTAACTGCAGACATACCTAGGAAGGCTTCTCCTTCGGTGACCTGTAGCCCCACCTGCGCCCATCAAGAACTCATCAGGTAATTGTCTAAGGAACTAGAGGCTCAGCATTCTCTCTGGCAGGCCTTCATGTCTAAAATTTGCTTCTGCCAAAAAATAGCCTGAACCCAAACCTGGCCATGTTTAGAACATGATGCAAGACTCATCCTTTTGTCCACCAACTGTACACTTTGAAATCCCCCTAGGTTTTTCTCTGTCTCTTGAAAGTCTCAATGGTGTGTAATTTATCTGCTCATTTTATGTGGGTTATGTTAAGCCTGTAAAGTACACTAAGGTGCTATGGAGATGGATGCCCTAAAAATGGTTGCAATAATAACCTAAGGAGAGGAGAATATGATGATCTATCCAGTTGTTTATAACACACTCTTAATATGGAGACCTCACGCTAACAAAACTGCCATTGAGATCTCTGTGTTTGCAAGCTAGATCCAGGGCAGTATCATAGGTGCTGGAACAATTTTTACAAGGGGAGGTGGGTGCTAAAAGCCATGGAACAAAACTGTAACTTCTCTATAGGATGGAAATGATTTCAAACCAGCGGGTGCTCCCGCACCCCCACCAGCCCTAGTTCCAGCACCTATGGCAATATAAGGCTCATAAATAATGTCACAAAACTCCTCTTACAATAGGTGCACTTAAAAATCATTCAATTTCCATTTCACTGTTGATGCTATATAGAACCATTAGCGGAATAGAAATTAGATGTGGCACAAATGTTCTTCACGGTCATTCTTTTCACTGCTATTCCCCTTTTATGGAGCGCAGCAAGTAGCAGACTTTGAAAACCTTGACCTCATGCCCCCTCCCGTTTGGCTCTATCTCCTCTTGCTCTCTTTCTAAAGAAGCTCAACTACTTTGGCCCACCCCACCTCAAGCTGCAGTCAGCGTTTTCCATCTCCCAACAGTCTACTAACCTGTGCCAAGTAGGGAAAGTACTGAAACAAGGCATGAAGGTTTCAAGTTTGCCCTGTGTGGCCTTGAGGAAGCTATGCAGGCCTGTGTGTATTTTGTCCTCTCAAATTATTTAAGCTAAGCCCTCCGTGGTTTTGCTATGCCAAAAGGCTTTTCAAAGTGTCCTGTGGTGGGCTTTTCCCATATGCTGCCAGCTGCCACAACCTGGATCCTGAGGATGATGGAATATCCAAGCCTGAATCAATAATATCCCTTCCCAGAATGGCTTGCTGCGTATTCTCTGTTACAAGGATGCCACTATGAAGATGGAGGGCTGTGGTTGAGCTGCAGATGATCAGAGAGGTTGGGTAATACTGAGATACGGGCTTTACATGAATTTCAGCAAAGACTCCCAAAATGGCTTTCAGCTTTTCCCATGAGCACTTGGCTCTGACAATCACCACTTGAACCCTGAAGGTGACAAAGCAAACAGTGGGAGATTGAAACAGCAAAATAAAGGGGCATAGGTTACAATTCAGCGATGGGTGGTGAGTACAAATAGCAATAATCTGATTAAATGGTCATGTTCTAGAGTTCAGTGCCTACAAAGGAACCAAATTAAAGCTTTCATTCAGATTTAATATATTTCTTGCTGGCAACACCTAGCTGCGTAAATGAGCTCCTTGAGCATATCAAAGATGTAAGTTTTCCTTCCGACTCATCACAGTGAGCCCTGGCAAAACCATTTCTTTAAGCAGAAGAACTTCATAAGCATCAGGTTTACACCTAGTCTCATGAAAGAGCTTAGCCTCATGGGCAGACTTGGAAGGATGTGATTTTTATTTTTTTCTAATTTTGACAGTTAATATTGATTTTTGTTTCTAAGGGGTTTTTTATTATTATTTACAGTGGTTTTAATTTTTACAGCTACAGGAAATTAAGGGGGAGTTGGGTTAGGGCAGTACTGACAGAGGGCCTCTAGGGGGCTCCCTGCATGGCCAAGGAGCCCAAGACACCCCCAAGCATAAGATGTGGGGGAGGCTGCAGTCCTGGCAGGGCAGATCAGAGAGCTTTGGTCAGGGCTGTGAGGCGGATGAGCCCCTGGCTGTGGGGAAGGCCAGACCCTGCCCGGGGACAGCTTCCTCACTCCCAGCTGGAGAGGGAGAGAGCGGGTCCGTGCCAGCAGCGGTGGAGAGGGCTCCCTGTGCTGCTACAGGGCCAGTGACACCCGATCCCTGCAGGCGCAAGTTGCAGGGGGGAGCTGCACTGGCACCCACTGTTACCGATGGATACTTTGATTCATGTATTTCAGTGCACAGCTGAAACTGATCTTTACCAACATCTATCAACTTGAATTGAATCCTGCCAAGCCTACTCCGGGATAAGACTCATAGTCAGCAAGGTAACATCATGCCAGGGCAGTCAGTGGGTCCCCAACCCCCATCCCCATGTGATATTCCATTCACACTGATATGATATAAACGCGAATATTGACAGCACCAGTGTGAAGTGCATGCATTTGTCTCAGCCGGAGTTGGGCGAGCTGCACAGAGCCAGCACCAGGTCCCAAGTGAGAGGACAGCGCAAATCCACAGCAAGGCGAAACACCAAGCACAGGTTAACATACATCACTGAAATGGAAATTACAGGGAACTACACTCGCAGACTGCAAAATCCACAGCTGGACTGTCTAGAGACAGCAGCGGTTTGGACAGGGCATCCTTCCCAGATTCTCACCACAGCATTAGGTCAGATGTAACATAACACAGTGAAATGCCATTTCAGTGGCCTTGCTCTGGCTGGTATACACGAGGGAATTAATACAGCATTGAACAAGTTCAAAGAGCAACAATGGCACTTACTGGTATGGAAAACTTTCACCACATAATAAAGATGGTGTGGGTCAGTTCTTGTTGATTTGCTTATTCCACAGGCAGAAAAGTTTTTTTTTTAAATGCGGTTGTGACGTTATTGACATGAACTGTGACCATATAGATCATTGTTGCAACCAAGGTCCTATAGTTGTGCCAAACTTGTACAAAGGCGGTCAAGTAAGGTGTCTCTGAAAAGGTTGTAATTTGCTGGTTATAATTATGCTGTCTGTATGTGTGTATCATTTTTGTGTTTGGTTGTAATTTGCTGGTTATAATTATGCTGTCTGTATGTGTGTATCATTTTTGTGTTTGAAGTTATGAATATTGGCTATTCTCAATGTGTTTGATTCTATATCTGTATCTCAATGTGTTTGATTCTAAGTCGCATCAGTGAAGCACTTACTCAGAATAGTCCTTCTTGAGAATCAATCAAGAATCACTTAACTGACAATGAACCTTGGGAGATTCCAATCCACATCTGAGGAGCCTTCCTGGGAATATTCAAGGTAGCATGTGAGCAATGGCTGCCGCCTGCAAACTGAGTCATGCATGGACATGTGACTTGCCCATGTGACTCCAAACTCCATCTTCCTGCTGTAATTTTCCACAGTAAGAACAAAGGGGTCCTTCCACATGGCAGAGGATATAAAAGGCCCTGGAAACCCCTTCATTTTGTCTCCAGTCCTGCTTCTGACCTCTGGAGGAACTGTGCTTAAAACTGAAGCCCTGAACAACCCATCCAAGCTGGGATGTTTGTACTCCAGAGACTTGACTGGTTTAAATCATCAGTAATCCCATCAAGCCTGAAACAAGCCTGAACTAAGAATTTTGCAATTGTTGTATGTATTTGATTCCATTTAACCAATTTTAACTCTCATCTATATTTCTTTCTTTTGGTGAATAAACCTTTACAATTTAGA